TCTTTGCTCATAGCTCACCTGCTAGCATTTCCCCAGCGCCACTACTCATACACGAGTTACCTTAGACAAACATGATTCTGTCACGTTAATCATCTATTAATGTCAGTTTAGTAAAACTTCAGGCACATACTGCATATTCTAAAAATTGCCTTTTTATATCCAAATAACACACGTTTTCCTCATTTTCCACCATGAGCGTGATTCCTAACTCCCAAGCTCTGCTCCCGCCTTCCTCTGAGTTTGCTTTCAAAATTTTTCTCTTTATTTTGTGTGATATCTAGAGACCACCATAATACTCTCACAAATATTTTCTTGCAAAAAGCAAACATACAGCATTACAGAAAGATACACAGTGTATTACTGATCTTAATTTACCTTCTGCAAGCGAACCTTCCCATATGCAAATTTGGGTGTTGTCGGAGGTATAAGACCTTCTGGTAACTTCTTATACTGGAAAGGGAAAGAACACACGCATAAAACTTAAATACAAACATTCTTTAACCGAATTCTCACTTTCCACTTCACAACTTACAAAAAGTAGAACTTTGGGTAAAAGCAGATAACCTCACTGTGCCAAAGGATTACAGCTGCATCCAGTCTAAGATGGAGGGTTTTTTACAATTAAAAAAAAAAAAAGTAAACCCCCAACATGATCAGATATGGTAAATTATTCTTAATATCTGTTCAAGTTGATGTAATGGTAAAAAGCATCGAGAACAAACAAGCTGCCAAAGAACTACAGTGTTCTTGGAGCCCTCCTGTGGCTACAGCTTGTGTTGGTCTTCTACATTTTAATACACAGGCACAAATGACCACTCTTATCTTATAACGTGCACTTTTGGTGACTTCTGAGGCTTACTTTGGCAGCTCCTAGGCATTCTTTCAAACAAGATTGGTAAGGAGCTAAAAGGGTGTTTTTTCCTTAGAGAGTTTACTTTGATTTCAGCTTGAAAGTTTTAGCACAAGGCATGATTTGTTGGGCTTAAACATGGTATATCCAGCATAAAACTCATACCTAAAAAACTAGTCTCTGCACCAAGACTAGTTTTGGGGTTTTTTTCTTTAGTTGGTCTATCTGTATTTTTTTTTCCTTCAGTTGGTCTATTTTATTTTTATTTTTAAACAGACCACACAAGTGTAATTCTCAAAATTCTCCTGTCAAATCTCAGCTATGGACTGATGAAAGCCTGATTTATATTTCCAGTATCAAGTTTCTTCCTCAGTATTTGGAAAGATATTCAAGCTCAGGGAAGAAACTATATTCACCCAAGTGAAGTAGTAAAAAGTACGACATTTGAGCCCAACCAGTAAAAATTAGAGAATGCTGTCAGCAACTGAAAGAAGCTGTAGACTGAAACCCTTCTTTATTACATTTATTAACTGAAGGGAACAGTAAAGGAAGATTATAATGTATTAGCCTTGTAGCACAACTAACATGTTGAAGGTAGCCGTTAGTTACAGGCAACTTGAATTCTCCTTTTCATCAGCTCCACCTCAAACTGCAACTGAGCAGACAGACTGTTATTATGGGTTTAGAACCCACAGCAAAGGCAGGAAAACTTCACTGAGATCCTGCGGATATGGAAGGTAAGACAGAAACAAACCACACCAAAAAACGCTGTGCAATGACCCAATGCACCTTCAGCTGTATGGAACACTTCAGGTTTTATCAAGGCCCTCTCACTGCACTAAGCACTACTTACATTTCAGATAGGCATCTTGCCTTGAAGAAAACAACTCAAAACCCAGAAGTCTTGGAATTTCTCTGGTGAGAAAAGCTGAATGAAGACAGGAGGTTTTCCCTGAAAGACTACTAAAATTATCCCATCAACAGAAAGCTTAGGGATAACAGAAAAATTGAAGAAAACCATCCACAGCACAGTGTGGGGACACTTACCATACCAATGACTTCCCTCAAGGCAAAATATTTTTCAGTCAGATCCCCTGCTTCAGTCAGTGGAGCATCATAGTCGTAACTAGTCGGCTGTGGCATATAGGGCATGTTAGCACCTAAGGGAGGAGGGGTAAAAAAAACAAAAAGAGAATTATTAGAAGAGTTGGGCTTTTTCCAAAGATAAACTTTCCGGATTCTCTGCAGTTACAGCCAGACTCCTGTATGTTTTTACATTCAACAGAGGCCTTGGGATTTGGCACAGAGGAACTATTCCTGATGGAGGTTCTGAGCTCACACTGCTCAGTTATTTAACCTTCAGAAATACTCTGAAGAGAAACAAATTTATCCATGGTTCAACTCTTTCACAGGACTGAGTGAAACAGGAGTAGCCTTTGCAAAGAGAAACACCGTAAGGGTTTAGTAGAACGTGCTGGCAATAGACAGAGAACAGCTACTGCTGTCATCTTTTGTCACATGAAAGCAGGCATGGCTTATTCTTTCACAGAGTAAGTTACTACCACTACATTATTTGTATAATTTAAATAATTTCTTACCATTCCAATAGGCAAAGTTAGTCCCACCTATAAACATGTACCTAAAAAGATTTAAAAAAAAACAACACAAACATCCACTTAAATCAGGTTTTGCTGAATTGGGAAGAAAAAAATCCACCCCTTAAATTAATCTCTACTGAACACACACTTACAGGTTAACGTTAGCACCACGTGCCAGGATTTCATTAAGTGTTTTAGCTATAGTTTGTGCAGGCACAACAGAATGACGGTGTCCCCAGTGATCCAACCATCCAGTATAAAACTCGGAATTAACCTGAAAGAAGGAAGGGCAAAAGAGGAAGGGAAAACGAAGAGGGAACAAGAACAGATGCCATGTGATTTAAGGCTACTAACTACTAGAGGGAAGGGAAAAAACGGCACCTTGACTCATTCGCGTCATTTTTAAACTACTATAAATACAGCAAAGCATGCACTAAGTCAGTCCTTTTCAGCAGATGAATGGTGAAAAAAAATAAAGGATTGTTTCAATAACACTTTGAAAACAATTGCTAAAGTACTAAAAGCATGAATTTCCTTGGAACCTATCAGCATGAACATGTTTCAAATAAACATGGCATTCAGTAACTCAAACAGATGGGCATTCAAATAAATGATGGTACAAATACATTCTCTGCACAATAGCATATGTAGAAAAGATGGAATGAAAAATATATCTTTCAAATACTCAGACTGCATTCTAAACAATTTCATAGCACTGAGATAATCTTGTACCCTCCATGGACCTTTTCCCTTTGACAAAACAGCTTCCAGTGATCTCCTATCCCATTACAGCTCGTGTAAAATCTCTAGGGTAGCTGAAAACAGGAAGAAACTTCTAACCTGCCTTTTAATTTTGCTTTTAACTTCCACCCACACATGTATCTCACTAACTCATCTAATCATACTTACTGCTTCCGCTGCTTTGTAAACATTCGTCTTAGCAAGGAAACAATACTTATAAAAAATCAATACCTTCTGAGATTAAAATAGTATTTGCAGAATAGCAGCGAATGTGAATTTGACAAATACACGGATACACTCCCCTATCCAGTTTTTGACTGACTTGGCAGTTACGTCTTTCTAAACACGTCCCAAAAACCGTCTCTCAGACTGTGGTCAATTCCTCTCTCATTAACCACTACAAGATTAGGAACAACACAAGACATTAAAGTGAAAAGACATACCAAAGGGCCTGTAGGTTCACTGCCCCTTTGAGCTAAGAATGCTGCTGTGACATTGCCACCTGTAAGTAGACAGAAGTAAAACTGAGTAAATAAATGATGTAAGATTAAGTGAATAAATGAAGGAGTTCACAATTTCAATCTACTTGTAAGAAAACAGATTCCTGCTAAGCACACTTCTTTGACTGGAGAGAGAATGTGCAAAAGAGGCCACACATGAAAATATGGTACGAAATATCTTTGAGCGTGTTTCTTATGCCTCAAGCTTATTTTGCCAAATTCATGTAGTATAGGAATATTCATATCATTAGCTCTCCCTTCCGGGAAAAGGGCACTTTTTTAACACTATGGTTGCTGAGCCTTTCTTCAGGCCTGTATCACAGCAAATTGTAGCAGTGTGCACACTTCTAATTATGAACTTCAGCAGTAATTTCTTTTCCAGTAATCACTGGTTTAAAAGGAAATGAACTGAGAGAGATAGATTCTGGGACAGGCAACATTTAAATAAAAAGAACCCCACCCTAAACAACTGAATTGATGCCAACTACTACTGCTAATTTTTTTTAGGAGATACACACTATGAGCAGTGTGAATTGCTTATTCATGATTTCATGATGCAGGAAGGTGATTATAACTCTCTAACTGGGTACTCGTGGGCGATTCCTGTATGTTTAAGGGTACATTGAGCACACCTAAACGCATATTGCCCCATTTAAACAAATCAGTCAGGCTTCTCAAGCAGTCAAGTTGGTTTTCCCTGCCACAAACACACACAACAGGTTTTTTTGGCGACGAACAGCAGTCTCGGACCTGCGGCAAAGTCGACTGTTGCATAAAGACCCTGAAGAGCTCCACATTTCAAATGAAACTGGCTTGCACCATCAGTTGTGAAGAGCACTACCTCATCCCCAAGATGCTGGCGGAAGAGCTTCAGAAGAGAACGCAGATAGTCATAGTCGCAAGCAAAGTAGCTTCCATACTCGTTCTCTACCTGCACAGTGAAAGCAAGTCAGTAAAGCAGCAGCCAAGTGTACTGCATCCGAAACCAAGAACAGAAAGTCCAAATCCAACAACTCTTCTCCTCCCTTTGATGGCAACGCTGAGAACATCATTTTAAACCCAGAGCTAAGGCTTAAGAGAAACCAACATTTCTGGGTACTCATTCCTCTCACCTGTATCTTACAGCAGAGCAACCACTGTGTGGAAGTCCATCATTTTCCTGCAAAACCACCCTCCACAAAGGAAAAACCAAAACATTTTACCCAAGGTACTTAGCAATAGTCATCAAAACACAGTCTCCAGCAAAAAAAGGAGAGCTCTGACCCACCTCCCAAGCAGAACACTAAAACCCTAAGACAGGGTGTGACATGATCAAAAACAAAGCAAAGTTAAACTTCCCAAACCGAGATACAGGGGCTGACATGAAGAGCAAAGCCCTGCGATGGACTCAAAAGACTGAGGGAAGAAGGACAACCCTGCTGCTACCAAGAGGTCCGCATCTTGTCCCTTCCCAAGGGGATGGGCTTTCAAGCTCCAGATCCAAATGCACACCTGAAGGTGATTTCTGAAAATCCTGTTATACACATCTTTTTTCTGCCAAGGAATAGTTCTGCCTGGCACATTTTTTTTTCTATAGATACAATACACCGCTTCAGAACAATCTTGGGATATTATAAGAAGCGTCTCCCATCCCATTCTGTGCCAATCAGTTTAAAAACAAATTAAAAAAAATAAAGCAAAGCTTTCATTAGGTCAAATACTAAGAATATGGAACCATAGCCACTACACATCTCAAAAGAAATCAGAAGCTACTTACCATGAAGGTATAATATTGTGCAGCTTAAGTCAGATACAACGAACTAAAAAGCCTAAATTTTTAGTCCATTTTTGTTCCATACTCCATACTGCTTTTGCTTTTATCTGCAGGTATCCCTACGCTGCTTTTGCATGTCAAAAAGTTTCAGGCAATTGTAATATATTTTGACTTTATGTGAGAACCAGCACGTAACTCAGATCTAAAAAGCTCCACAAGTTTCCAGTATTACTTTCTACAATTGCAGGAAACAACTTTGATAAAGCAGACAAGTTCTCTCTAAATTCTGGAAACAGGGCACTCGGTTCTTCAGGATCAGAGATTTAATCAGAATTGTTCAGCTACCCAAAACCGTTAAGGCAGATCTGCGACGTTAGCACCCAACACCCACGGAGTGGCTGCAAGAGCAAGCTAAGCATCCCTGCTGCTTGGGTCCCTCTGATGTTCAAGGAGTCACCTGCACCATGATGACTGGACCTCCGTTTTCATAGAGGTGAGGCCTCATCTTCGGCAAAAGAACACCCATCCACTTCTCTACAGCTGCCAGATAATCTGCAACACACAAAGTAGAAGTGTTTCACAACTCTTCTGCTTTTTTTCTAGGTTTTGGTTTAAATTACATATGAGTAGTTTTTATCTAGTGTTTTAAATATGTAAAAGTGTAACAAAACAGCATTTAACAAACTGGTATGTTCTTATACTTGCTCATAAATCACCTTTCAGTATACTAAAAAATAAAACACTTAAATAAGGATGAACTTTGAAAATCACCAGACTTTACTTTCTCTCACAGGTTGTCCTGCTACATTTCAACTGGAAAGCAAATTCAAATTTTGCTATGGATGCTATTTTTTTTAACGGATCACTTATCCCACAACGAGCAGAACTGGTCTCCACTTTATTTATTCTATATACTTATTGAGTACACACTTTTAACTAGAAGTACTGAAGATTTTAGTACAAGATGATTCATATTTCAGCTTAAGTTACCTAGTAACAGTCTCAAACTGCAAGTTGCCTTGCTGCTAAAGTCCTTTTTGATGCCTCTACCTGAATCAGAAGATCTGAGAACAATTGATTTCTTCTCCAACAGCCATGCAGGGAGACCTCCCTGGGAAAAGAAAGGGAATCACTTCAGTGACCATTTCTAGGAAATGTAAGAATTTAAACCTTTTATCAAAACATATGCTGGGACTTGAAGACTGATCTTCTGCAGTTAAGTAGTAATTCCCAATCAAAAAACAAGTTCAAAGCAAGCTGGTGTTGTAAGAAGTCACTTAAGACACATGGATCTTAATATGCCAAGAGTCTTGCCCAAGGATACACCATGTTCATCTACTTTAGGACAGACATATTTGCATTAGATTTACCCTAGAAATGAGAGAACTGTTACAAAAGGCTGTACCATGTCCCATTCTGCACAGATGTAAGGTCCAGCTCTCAGGATAACGAGCAAACCAGTGTCGTTAGCAAGCTGCAGGAAATACTCTAGATCTTTGTCACCAGAAAAGTCATACGTGCCCAGCTGAGTTTCATGGTAGTTCCATGGTACATACCTACAAAGAGAGAAGAACGCCTGTTAGGAAACAGCCTAAACCAGAATTCCCAATAACAGCTTTCTGCAGCACACTCCTCGCAGATCTGTAATGCTGAACTGGCCTTCAGACCAGTAACATACAAGTCTGGAGGCTTTCTTCTGTGAGGTACCAAACCCCCACAAAACCACAGCAGAGCTATCTGGAGTAAGGTAAAAATGTATTGCTTTATCTCAAATAATCAAAAGCAGTAAGGTTTGATTACTTGCAAACTTCAAAGAAAACCAACTAACTTTCTACAAGCCTTTAAGCTTCCTGCTGCTACCTGGAGTAGGCTGCTCCACTGATCTGTAAATCCTGTAAATATTTAGCACCATCTAGTGGCTAACTATCTCCTTCATGCCAAAAAAACCAACGAAACCACTAAACTTCCAGTCCTTCCCAGGTGTCTTTGGTAGCATTCATTTCTAGTTGGCAGGCACAGTTCAGGAGACAAAAACAAGGAGAGTTACCCCCGTGTGACTAGATGCCTTTGCTGGCGACCTGCCAAGTGTTGCTCCTAGGTACATCATCACCATCTTCTGGGATGTCCTATCAATGACACTGCCAAATTTTAACCTGCAGTGTGGAGGGTTTAGGCCTCGATAATTTAAGATTTAATTTAAGATCAAGCTTCCCATCACCTGTTTTGTCATATTCTGTTATTGCTTCACGTGTTTCCAGGGGCAGACGGTGACGACCTCACCCACTCAAGAGTCCCAGGCGAGGTCCTGACTCTGCTATCAGCCGAACATCAAGACAGGGAAGGAGAGCAGGTCTGGTTTGCTTGAAGCACAAGGAACTTAAAAGGACAACCCTGTAATAAGAGGATCCCATTTCCCTTGAAGTGGTAAGCCTCACTGGGAGCACCCTGATACCCACAAGGAAGGCTCTCATACTTCAATTATAGCAAGACCTTTCCCTGTCTTGTGGAAAACCCCCCAAGCAGCAAGATCATGATCTTCAGAGGTGGTTCCAAGGCTCCAGCTTTCTGCCAGAGGGTCTGGCAGTGTCGCCACCCATTCCAGAATGACTTCATACAACCAGTATCTCAGCCCCATGCTAACAGGTTTTCTGATTCAAGAAAGAGTAGGCAGAAGAGGAGAAAATAAAATATACATCTGAGTAATCATCTAGACCAATTTCTATTTTTACCAAACCCACACAAAATCACAGCAGAGCTTGTTTGCGCTAACGTGAATGTTTATCATTTTACCTCAAATAAGCAAAAGCTGTAAGGATTACCTGCAAACTCTAAAAAAAAAAAAAACAAACACAAAAAAACCAAGAGAGGTTTGGTGGCTGGTTTGTTGTTTTGGTTTTTTAGCACAAAGAAAGAGATCAGTGTCAAAGGGAAAAATGCATGGATTTGATTTTTGTAGAAAGTGTGAGGTATGGGAGTACTTTCTGCCTGAAAGATACACATTGTGAGTGGAAGATTACAAAGGAAGAAAGAAGCAATAAGAGAAAAAAAAATAAAAAGGAAACAAGCCTGCACCAATTTTGATATTAAAAAACAGTAGTGGGGGCAAGAGGAAAGAAAAGATTCCTATCTCAAAAGACTAGTGATGCAGCAGAGACATGAACAGGCAATTTCAAAGAAAAAAGATGAAAAAAGGTTAAAAAAGGGGGAAATGAGCAGATAACTCCCGAAAACTGGAGATATATGAGTGTTGGGAGGAAAAAAATAAGTCAGAGACTTAAGGGAAGTATGAGACACCACAGATTGTAGGAGTCACAGAGCCACTGTCAGGACCCAGTCTGACCTCCAAGTCAGATGTTAAAAAGATATAATTTCCAGGTCCATTTGAGATTACTTTTATGGCACCAAAAAATAATTATGGGGCAATTCCAGCAACTCTGTCCTGAGAAAGTGCATTACTTAATACCATTGGTTTTATGTGATGGAACACAGGACTTGCTCGCTTTGTTAGCCAACAACAAAAGCCACCCCAGGAAATATAAACCAAACAAAAAGTCACTACATCATCACAATACAGGGCAAAAAAAATAAATAAGAGAACCCTACATTTGAAAAAAGCAACTCTTTTTCTTTCCCTGTCACCTTTTGTTCACCTGCTAACCCTTACTAATCACATGTCAAATCATAAAAGGGAAAACTGCAACTTCCAAGCCAAATATAATTCCTCTTCCCTTTTCAAGGAAGCTTTGGCAAAAATAAGATGAAGCTACTTTTTTTTCCCCCTCTCTTTTTTCTAGTAAGTACATAACCAGGTAGGAAAGACAAGAAAGAAGAAAGGCAGGCTAAAGGTTTTGTACATACAACTGAAAGCTCTTTATACTGTGTTTTTTTCTTTTTTTAAAAAAAATAAAAGTATATACAGTTCCCAACCACTTTGCTAAATTTAAACACTACTTAAATATTACTGCAGCCTTTGCCAGTATCCTCAAGGCTTCAGGGCAAAATAACCCAGGCTGTATTAAGAGGCAACTGTCACCTCTCATCTCTCTTTTGATCAGAGACTACAATGCCCTTGGCAGAGGCAAAGCACACACAACCGCTTTGTAGCTGCCAAAGTTCACAGTCCAACAATTTATTTCAGCTCATGTTTGCACCCTGGGTTGTGAAGCAAGAGGCGTTGCCTATCTGCAGCAAAGTGGATTGCTAGCTGTAACCTGCCCAGTTCTCCTACTTCATGCAGCTAGAGGTCATCCCATACCACCCTTCACTTCTCTGGAGCTCTCATCTATTACTTAAAAATCAATCAATCAAGTAACTTTACTTATTGTACATCTCCCAGGACTAAAAACCACTTTGAAAGTCAACAGCTACTTACGTCTGAATGGCATCAAGTCCTGCCATCTTCATCTTCAACAGGCGATCCTTCCAGTAGTACCTGGGCACGCGCGAGTAGTGAATGCTACCCGAGATGTAACGGAAAGGCCTTCCATCCTTGACAAAGCAGCCGCAGTCATAATCAATCCCAAAACTCCTCTGGGGTACAATCTGTGTACAAAAAAAATAAATATCCAAAACAACAAAAAAAAACCACAATATAATCTTTTTCTGCCTTGAAAGACATAAAGAACAGTCTATACAGTATCTGCAGGTTGTCCACAACAGAAGGTACAATGGTGTTAAAATAACCGATGGTGAATGGATGTGAGAAAATACAACCCTGAGCTGGCAAGGGAACAAGAACTCAAGGGACTGCCAAGTATCACACAGGAGAAGCTTTTTAAGTCCCAGTCCCACAAACACAGACCCACTCTTAACATTACTTAAGAACAGAGTTCCATTAAAGTTGAAATAAATCTTGACGCAAAGACTCGGCCATTTCAGGTCTCCACAACATCAGGACCTTACAGAGCTGTGAAATACGAATCAGATGGTCTGGAACAAAACTAACTCAAAGGCTGGGACTCTGCCTGAAAAATAATGTTGTAGTAATTCCAGTCTGTTAAACCTCAAGTAAATTACTACTGCAGAGGATACACAGGTATGTGCCATCTGCTTACTTGCCTTGCAGTTCAAATACATGTGACTTTTTGCTGATCTTTAATTTATAACCTGACTTCTGGACATGCTGCACTAGGATGAAATTGCACTGTGTGTAACCCTGAAGGAAACCATTTGCCCTGATGAACACAATGTTTCACATGCTTCAGTTTTTTTTTACTCTAGGGCACTGTGACAAGCTGCAGCATTGACATAGAGCTGAGTACTTCAAAATGATCATGACTAAATGAAACTCAGAACCCATGTGCAGCAACACAATTCTGCAATATCATTTAAAAAACAGACTTCCCTTCACCTTCAGTTACTCAACATTCTTTTATTGCCGGCACATGACTCTGCCCAGCACTCGCAGACCAGGGCTTGCAGCAAAACCAAACCACTTCTAGTCATGAATTTGTCTGGCTCTGTCAATATTGCATACTCAATATTGCACAAAACAGGTGTTTTTTCTACCTCAGTCGGAAAGCAAACAGATATGGATATGGATCCTCAATGAACAATGAACCCTTCCACCTGTGAAGATTTCTAGCACCTGCGTTTGAATGGTCTGCACAAGAGAACACCCTTTTCCACCCCAAAGCTCAAGTATCAAAACTGAGAGACACAAACCACTCTTTTTATGCTTCTTCCAAAAAAAAGCATCCCTTCTCTCTCTGCAGTGGTCCTTTTCTCTGCATCACATCCCCTTTTCCTCAGCCTGCACTTCTTGCCCCTAGTTAGGCAAATTTCATAGTGGCCTTACCTTTCCCACTTCCCACCACACCTCAGCAGCTTGGGTATAAAATTTACTGTCAGTAGCTTTTTGTTGGTAAACGGAATTAGTGTGTTAAAATTATTCCAGCACTAACTGCTACAATAAACATTGGTACAAAATAAAAGGTCAAGGCATCTTTCTTGATAAGCAAATAAAGTTTTATTAAACCCCAACATTTAAAGCATTTGTCATGTGACAATTCACATATTTTCAAATCCACTCTATATTTATAACATAATGTAATAAATATAAACTTTCACAGAGCAATGATGCTATTTTATTCTGGTATTATTCTGACAGTGATTAACTCCCTCCCAGTGCACTGGCATTTTATAGGAAGAAATATATATTAATGTAGTTAAGTTCTCCAGATTAAATACATTCCACACACATAAAAAATTACAAAAAAATGTCAAAAAATTATAAAATAAGCAGCACAGCAATTTTTTTTTTCCATCTGCAATACTGAACACAGGTCTACATCGTGCATATTCAAGTTAGATCAGAAAAAGTATAGAAAAAAAGCTGTGAAGGACAATTAAGGATTACTGTCTGGAATTTTAGGAAAGGTTAATTCCTCTCACTATCAAAAAAGAAAAAGCTGATCTAGGATACCTCCCATTCATACTTCGGGAAAAAAAAGCAAAATAAGAAAAGGCTTTTAAAGTGTTTTGGCACAGAAAAAACATTTTAAGTATTAACCAATGATCAGGCAAATAAGCCTTCAAAGAGATAGACAAAGAAAAAAAACTAAATTACATTGGGAAAACTCGAATTTACGAAATGATAGTATGACCACTCCTAAAAGGATGCGTATCTGCTCCTGAAAGGATACACAAAGATGTTTCTAGAGGGGCCTGTGCGAAGTAATGAAGAAGTCACCTCTGCATCCCTGGGACAGAAGGATCACTGCAGCTAGGTTTTTGCACACATTTGGACAGAATGAAGAGAGAAAGAGAGGGTAGTGGGAAGAAAAAACACACAGAAAAATACCACTGCCAACTCACCAGGAAAGTAACACCATGTAAAACCAGTCCCACAAAAAACTCCTGATACAGAAACTTGCTTAACAACTGGTTTTCTTAACACAGGAATAACCCTCAGTGTAAGAAATGAAGAGGTATTCTCCTCGACCATTGGCCTGCCAGGAATACCCCATGCCACTCGACCCAGAGCAGAGCTTTTCACCAAAGGGCATTTAGATAAGTAAACAGAGGGTGACAGGCTATCAACATTCTCTCTCCGTAAGACGAGTTGACACTACTTCACCGACAGGAAAGAATCTCAGAAGGATCCCCTACGGTCAGCGTTAAACACATGTGGAAACTTTAGGACACTTAAACAGATATTATTGCACAAGCTTAAAGAAAAAAAAATTCTCTTCCTTGCAACTGCAAAGAAACAGAAATTATCTGGTAGAGATATCATCAACTATAGAGCCTGGTTGGTCAAGTGTTCAATTTTCAGGCTAAGAGAGGACTGTAGCTCTTCTATCAACCTCCCAATGCACGTGATGCGTTCAGTGGTATTTCTCAATGTTCCTGCATGCAAAAACGCAAGATGTTTGTGCAGAGAAATAGGATACAAAACCCAGCTTCGCAGTTAGAAACTCTGCTAGGGGCCAAAGGCTGAAAAGAATGGATGAAGTGAAACTTCAAAGCTTCACTTCAGAAAAACCCAACTTTTCAAAGCCTACGGTACTCTTCAGATACACTCACCTCACACAAAATGAGAGTAAGAGCTGAGAACTGACAGAAATTCTCCATCCCTCGTTATCCTGTAGCAGCTACATGTCTATCAGACAACCAGAACATTGATACACAAATGCTGTTAAGGAAAGTCACCTGCTACAGAATACAGTCTTCTTAAAAAGGACACCATTTACCCAAAATACTAAGACCTTCAAAGTTCAAGCATTAGCCTATTTGCATTGCTTTCAGATAGCATCTCCTAACTCTTATAATAGAAAAATCACACAGGAGAAATTAAGAATCAACAACAATAAAAATACAGAAAAAAATACACTGAGTATCGCAGCTTTGGATTTTGTGCTTCACTTCAGGAGGTACTGTATATGCTCAGACAGCAACAGAAGTTATGTTAAATACAAGTTTTCTTTTTCATCTGCTTTGATTAGAGCTATTTTCATCAAATAACTACTACTTACTTCCCCAGTTATTCTGCGGAAAATGTCTGTAGAAAGACAGACTTTTAGTCTTTGATATCAGTTGCCCCAGCTTTTTAACTGGAAAAAAAATGAATTTCAGGAGAGGATGCCTGGCAGCTTACTGTACTGGCAAGCAGCGCAGACTGGAAGCCCCAGCACACACTACCGACAGTTAGCAGAACAAAGATACCCAGCCTCAAAAAAAAAAAAAATTAAAAATGCACAAAACCCTTCCTGTAATGTTTCCAGCATAAGGCTTCTAGAGTTTCCATACCTGGTGGACACCCCACACTCACTTCTGCAAAAAATGCGTAAGCGATTTCATGGCAAGAGATGAATACCTCACCTGCCTGAGATTTGATAAGGCTCGATGGATAAGAAACAAAGAAACATGAAGCAGCCACAGGACACAGATATTACTGAACATGCACAAGACACGTTATCTCCATGACATCAGTGCTGTCTTTAAATGCAGAACCTCAATAATAAGGAGCTCAAATAATTCGCTTATTCATTATTTTAACATGCTCCAACTTGTTTCACAGGCCCAAGATACAGCTACAGTGTTTTGTGCTCAAACTTAGCAGAACCCGTTGAAGTCCACCCCAACATATCTTCTCTGGTTTCCCTGAAAAAGGATTTGCTTTCAGAGCAGAAGAGTTAATATACTGACCAAAAAGAATGGAAAAGCCTATTAAGTGGAAAACTCCTCAGGGAGAACGCAGAATTATCTGCGTTATCTCAGCTCTGCTGCCCAGCCTCATGGGTATTCCAAAGTACATCGTCCCCGGGCTGACGTAGACAAAGGTGTTCTGCCCAACTTTGTACAAGCCGACAAAAAATGGATTCAGAAAATAAGCTCCCGCATTTAGTGGGAAAATCTGCCCTCCGTGAGTATGGCCAGAGAGAATTAAATTAATGTCTGGCCTCTCCTGAAGGGCCCACTTTGCAGCGATCGGCTGATGAGCTAAAAGCACGATCGCGTGCTCGCCGCTACAATCTCTGAGAGCTTTTTTCAAATCCATGCCATGTCCTGAGTAGCGCAACACATTCGCTTCGATATCGTCAACGCCAGCCAGGCAGAACCAGTCGTCGGTGCTCTTCGGGGATACAATCTTCACATTCTCGTTATGGAGCGGCTGAATGTTAAAGGATTTCAACAGCTTGAACCAGTTGCTAACATCCGACGTGTAGTACTCGTGGTTTCCTGTGACAAAGTAAGTCCCCAAAGGGGAGTTAAGTTCTCCGAGAGGCTCGACGGCTGGTCGTAGGATCTCTGCCTCAGAGTCTGTCAGGTCTCCAACAATCACGGTGATATCTGGTTTTAAAGCCTTAACCATTCGCACAATCATGGCAAGCTTGGTCTTCCCAACTGTGGGCCCCAGGTGAATATCTGAAAGCAATACCACTTTCAGGTTATTCATTGTCGAGGGCAGCTTGTGAACTGGAACCTCCACCGAATTCACGGTGGGAGGCTGGGAGGCATTTAACAGCCCGACAACAGTCAGCACAACAGTCAGCATGACTGCCAAAACCGGTTTCATCGCTGTTCTGTTCTTGTTGCCAGCGCCTGCCTTAGCGCCTCTCCCAGCCAAGAACTTGTAAGCCTGCTCTACAGAGCCTAGAGTGAAGAGGAAGAAGATGAGGATGATATAGGCCCCCAGGCAAGTGTAGGCAGCTAAAGAAAAGAAATAGGGCTCTTCTGCAACGAGAAATAGCATGGTAAAGAAGCTTGAATGAGCCAAAGCTAGAAACATGAACACAGCTATTTTCCACGGCATGAAATAGAAGGAGCTGGCAGCTGAAGACCTGGAGAAGGTGGTGACTGTGCTTCTCCAAACGTGAAGAGATCCTATCAACATCAGCGCGTTAGCAAACAGTGCCATCTGCAGTCTCAGAAGCCAACGTCGCATCCCAAGATCAAGTTTTTCTGCCAGGTAACTCCGCGACAGTGTCATGGAGAAGAAAACCACTCCTGCAGCCACTGCAGCCTTTGCTTCAAGGGGCAGTTGCTTGAAGGAGATCATCTTGGCTTCCTGACCGTTCCCTTCTGTTCTGCAGAAGTCTCCAGCAGGCAATAATGGGGTTACAAACAGGTGCCCTGGGTCAACGAAGCCTGCAACCAGGAACCAGTATCAGCCGTTTTTAAAATATTAGACACACTCCCTTTTTCCCAAGCTGCAACCAGGGACTGTTACTCTGCACACGCTACCCAAGACACCGGGTCACGCAGAATCACTATCATAAAGACAGGGAGGAGATTTCCTGATCTGGAATAAATCAGATAACTGAAAATGCTGGATTCTGGCAGTCCCCTTCCAAGCCCCCTCCCTGCCTCTCTCAACGATTCCTCCCCTCAGTCCTTTTTTTTTTTTTTTTTCTCGTTTATTTATATGCTCTTTCCCCATTTGGACTTCCTTAGAGTAGATAACAATGGATCACAGCAGTGACATATTTGCAAACAATCATTATAGTATTTATAAAGCCTGTAGGTCTTTTGGGACTAAGAAACTGCTTCTGTTAGCTCAACGTGCACTTTTTCTGTTCTTCTATCCCAAACGGCTGGTTCCACCTGAAAAGCAGGTACCACCCTACATCATTCTTAGTCAATACAAGAGGTTCCAGCAACCTGTGCTACCACAGCACGGAAAGCCCCACCAGACCATCTGGTGGTCCCAGACACTGCAGATGATTTACCAGCAGATATCGTCACTTCCACTTGTGAATAAGATCTCCCCAAAGCCCTCAGAAATAAGTAGGATCAGCGAGACCTACATCGTGTTTTTGCTACCTCTTTCCTGCTCTCTTCCACTAAACATATGGTTCTCAATTTCAGTGTAGCCTGGTCTAACAAGATGCAATCGAGTCAAAAAGGGATTAAAACATCATACACCCTGCTCCTTTAGAAGTAAAGGGAACACTAAGTCTAACATATCTCTGCTCCCAGGCTGAAAATAAATAAATAAGCAAGCGTGTTCAAATCGTACCAGAATTCCCTCTTTCGCTCTGAATTTTGCTGAGAGTTCATAGTGTTTCTACCCATGCCCCTCTTCTATTTAAAATAAACCTACTGTTCTACTTTAACTGCAAATGAACAAAGTTTGGATGCTCTTTCGTAACATACAACAGAAAGCAAGTCTGAGATAAGCCACCTTGTATAAAGCCCTGCAGCAGCATACGCTTACATTGAAAACACTTCCTGTCTCTCAGTCCACACTAGAGGAAAAAAAAAATCATTACAGCCAAAAATACCTCAAAACTAGGACACAGAAGTAGCCTTGCAGGGCTCCACGGCAAGCTTGAGCCCAGCTCAAGCTTGCCAGGTTACTTTTCTGCATCATAAACTTTCCCAAGCTTATTTAAAATAGCCTTAGCAAGTCTCTGATGCTATATTTTGAGGACTAGAACAAGTTTTTAAAAGATCCCCTCCCTCACTACTTGGTCAGGTTGATGGAGAAACTGTGTTTGCAGCCCTCTCAGCTGTTACAAAACTATCCTCACCTCCCAAAAAAGTGCTATTTTACACAGAGAACTCCTCAGAAAATAAACAAAGCTAGGAAGATAAGAGCATAAGAAACGCCCTGTTTGTTCCAGTCCACAGTCCTTCTAAATCATACACTTTCCAGACACCAGCAGTAAGAAATGCTGTTTAAGGAAACGACCCTGTCTGTGTTCTGCTCCCCTCATGCTCCCCCAGCCCATAAAGCCGGGGTGCTACAAAGCAAATCCTCACCTGCTCATTTTTTGATGTTGCTTATGAACCTGACGGATTTTAATTTGCCTAACTTTTTCTTGGAATCTGTTAAATACTTCTAGAACCACCCATAACAGAAACTTCCTGAAATTCACTCGATATTTTTAAAGTATTTTATTCCTTTTAAGCAAAGGCACTGAATTCACTAAGCGTCTCTCTTCTAACACTACCAAATCCAGGGAGATTTCCTTTCCTCTCGCCCATCGCCTTCAGATTTTTGTAGGTCTCGGTCACAACCCCCAGCCCTCAGGGTCCAAGCTCAGGGTCATTCCAGCTTCCCTGTGCTAAGGGCCTCAGGTGAGGCTGTGCCACTTTCTACACAGCTTTAACCACCACCCGTGCATCACACGATTAGCCACAGAAATAAAAGTAATAGAACGGGCAGGTGGCGGGGAGGTTGGGGGCAGACTCTTCTCAGCTGTGTCAAGCTGCAGCAGCAGTGCTTGCAAACTAGAAATCAGGAGCTTTGACTTAAATATAAGGAAATATTTCTTTACTGCGAGGGTGTCAGAGCCCTGGCACAGGCTGCCC